TACTACCTGAACATCTACATTTATAACATCCAATTTATCTTTCTGTTCGATAAAATCCATATTATTTTCTTATAAATACTCTAGAATTTCCAATTTATAATCAGTTATCGATGACGCGTTCGACTCGTAAGTGCAAGTCAGTCAAGACTGGAAAAGGATTTGTAAACTCTCTTATAAATAGTCTCCCGTTCGAAGCCCATGTTTCAGGCTATCAGTATTGCGGTCCTGGTACGAAATTAAAAAAAAGGTTAGATCGTGGTGATAAAGGAATAAACCCGTTGGATGCTGCTTGTCGTGATCACGATATTGTTTATGCAACGAGTAAAAATTTAGACGATAGACATAGAGCTGATAAAGTGTTAGAAAATCGTGCTTGGGAAAGATTTAAAGCAAAAGATACTCCTAGAAAAGAGAAATTTGTTGCGTACGCAGTAACAAACGCAATGAAAGCTAAAAGAAAAATAGGTATGGGCTGTAAACGGAAACGTGCTATAAAAACAAATGGTATACTAGCAGCGAAGAAAAAAAGAATCTCGAAGAAAAAGAATGGTGGTAAAAGGTTGATTTTAGCACCGAGACAGTCAGGAGGTGTAATTCCCTTAATACCTATATTTGCAGGATTGTCGGCACTTGGTAGTTTGATGTCTGGAGGTGCTAGTGTGTATAATGCGGTTCAAAATTCAAAAAGAAAAAAAGGCAGTGGTTTGAAATCAGACAAGAATAGGTTAAGAAAAAAAACTGATGATCACGCTACCTGACAGACCGCTTTCATCTCAAGATATTATAAAATATGTCGGAAAGTTGAAAATCAATCATTTCCGTGGAGTCTTTTCACGTGATAACTTGCCTAAAAAACCGCATGCGATTGAATGTGGCATATTAAACTTAGATATATCTTCAGGAGACGGAAGTCATTGGGTAGCGTTTTATAAAAATAAGGACAAAGTAGTATATTTTGATAGCTTTGGTGATTTGTCACCACCAATTGAATTACAACATTATTTTAGGCAGTTCAAAATAGTATACAACTATTCTAACTATCAAGATTTCAATACATTCAACTGCGGCCATTTATGCCTTGAATTTTTACAATGTATGAATCTGTTACACTAAGTTTGACTGGGAATACAACTATATTATCTACAAATTATTTTCCGACTCTAAACGTTTACGAGGATTCGGAAATAGCTTTGTTATGTTTAAAAACACTTAATTTATTTCCAAACATAAATTCAGCTAATAACCGACTGGAGATAGAAGTAATTCCTTCAACAAGTAATAGATTTATCCTAAAAACGTTTATATTTATTTTAGAAGAAGGATGTTATGAAATTGAAGATATTAACAACAAAATTTCGAAAGAGTTATTTAACTTTAACAATAAATGTAGAACACAGCTAACATTCAACGTATCTATTGATCCCATAGATTTTAGAACATACATTGAATGCAATGGGATACTAAAGTTAAATATTCCAAACAGTATAGCATCTGTTTTTGGATTTGAAAAGAGAACCTATAAACAAATAAACAAAGCTCTTCGATCGGGAAAAGCTGCTAATTTAAACACAATTAACTCTATAAAAGTAATGTGTAATATAGCACATGGGTCATTCGACAACCGACTTCAAAGTCATTCAATATATGAGTTTTTCCCTAGTGGGAGAACTGGATCGAAAGTAGTTCAGTCACCACTGAATTTGATATATTACAGATTAAACACAACAGACATTAATTCAATAACTATACAGTTAGTTGATCAAAACAATAATCCCATCGATAACTTTAATGAGACATTGACAGTTGTTCTACATATTAAACGTCACGAGTCATATTATTAAATTTATATCTCAGATATCAGGATGTACGAGTCAGTTACTTTAAGTTTAACCGGTAACACAACCATATTATCTACAAATTATTTTCCGTCTATAAACCTTTACGAAGACTCAGAAATAGCTTTGTTATGTTTGCAAACATTTAATACATTCCCGAATATCAACAAAGATAATAATAAATTTGCTATACAAGCAGTTGACCATAATAATAATAATACTGATCGTATGTGGTGTTATATTAAACTGGAAGAAGGATGTTATGAAATCAAAGATATTAAGCATCGAGTTATGGAACAAATAAATATTTATAATGAAAAATTCCAAACCAAGTTAACATTTGACATTTCGGTTGATTCTAACGACTTCAGATCATATATAAAATGTAATGGAATACTTCACTTTGAGGTTTTACATAGCATAGCACCTGTATTGGGTTTTGAAAAACGAGAATATAAGCCAGATTATGAAACTCATAGATCGGAAAAAGCTGTGAATTTTAACACAATTAATTCTATAAAAGTAATGTGTAATATAGCTCAAGGATCATTCAACAACCATCTTCAAAGTCATTCGATTTATGAGTTTTTCCCTAGTGAAACGTCAGGATCGAAAGTTGTACAGTCACCACCAAATTTAATATATTACAAATTGAATAAAACAAATATTGATACGATAACCGTTCAGTTAGTTGATCAAGATCATAATCCGATTGACAATTTTGGTGAGACA